TGCGTTTGGGTCGGTCTGTGACAGACCCCGATCTGTGGGACCCCCCCGCCCTCAGCCTCGGCAGGCATCAGCAGTGACTTTTTTTCGTTATTTTTAGCATTTCGTATTTTATTTATTATTTTCATGAGCACAAGTGATGAACAGAGCTGCTCTGGGGGCGCTAAGTTAAACCTTGCCTCGTGCTGAAGCTGTGGCAGGATCTGCCAGACTTTTTAAACTCACATCATTGCCCCCATGAAGCGCGCGAATCTCGAGGTCTGATCCCCGTTTTTTTTTGGAGCTCTGACCCCTTTGCAAATACCAGATTAAAAGAGCAGTGATGGGGAAGACGTGTGCAGGAAGCTGGGGCTTTTTGATGACATCCTGGTCTGGAGATTCTTTGGTGTCATCTTCAGTCTTGTGCACGGTTATTGCAACATACTGTAGCGCTTTTAGACCAAGGAAGATTCCTGGACGTCTAATTAACACTTACCAGCACTAATGGGGCTGGAGGCGCTGCAGTTACGTATGGCCACATTAAGAGCTCTTGCTTAGCTTTCTTACAGTCTAATTAATGAGCCAGAGCACAGAGCGGTCTGTTTTAATTACAGGAGAAGGTAGATGAAGGGAAAGTGAGACGGGTTGGTTGTGCAGGATTGATGCCCTGTTCTGCAAAGTAATGCTTTTTTGGGGGAAAAATCGTGGCCTCTCAATGCTCTTGTGGGCTGGAGAGGTTGTGCCTGCAGCTTGTTGCAAGCCCAGGTCAGGAGAGGGTTTTTAGCTGTTACATAGGGAGGTGCATCCGACTATCCAGGAATGTGGCAGGTTCCAGGACAAGTTCCTTAGCTTCCTTAGAAATTATGTTGGTAGTTCTGCTGAAAATTACAGAGCGTGTAATCCTTTTAAATAGCAGCATGTGTCAGAAATTACAGATGACTTTCACTGCTGTAGTGAGTTCTTTTGAAGATACTCTTAGAATATTTTTGTTGCTTTGCAAAAATTGTTGTACAAGGTTTTGTGCAACCGTCTTTCCATCATGAGTTGTGCTGCTCAACTCCATTAGCTCCAGGTTCCTGAATTGTTCTATTTTTGCAGGACTGTTTCAGGGAGATTCATCTTTCTGTTTTGCAAATGCCTGAGTATTTGATCTGTAATACTTCATAATACAAACTGTCTTTCCTAAAAGTTCTAAGGAAATAGGAAGAAACAAGAAGCTCAGAGTTAACAATCTGAAGAGCTAAGGCAAATATTCTTCCTTATGTAAAGGTGTTGCAATTTTTCACTTCACTCAGTTTTATTTCCATTTGTAGTGGAAGAGGAAACTATTCTAAAGGATTTTTTAGGAGGAGAGCAGCAAATGTATTTGAATAAAATATTGCTCTCTGCTTTAATTATATTTCCTTTTGCTAACCTCAAATGTCCAAGTAGCAAAATGAGACGGAGCTAATAAACTGCTCTAGATGTGTTGTTTTCTTAATATGAATTTCCACGTTTCCTTATATCCCTCTAATGTGATCTGCTTTAAATCAATTGCAACTTTAGAAATGTGTAAGCTAAATATAAACCTGAAACAGTGCCTGTTAGTAAAATGCTCTCTACCTTTTCCCCTTGTTTATAGGAGCAGCAGAGAATTGTGGACTATTCTTCTGGGCAGATCAGCTTTAAGAGAACCAGTAAGTTTGTGTCCTGATAGGCAGGTTTGCCTCTCACTGAACGGATTCCATGGCTTAAATGCATCATTTGTGCAGGTGTTTGAATAGTAGTGAAAATATGTTTTGCTGCTTTTCCCTCTTCCTCAGTGTGATTTTTTTCCTCTTTTTTCCACTCCTTGTTTATTCTTCCACTCCTTGTTTATAGCTGCTTCATGAACTGCTACCTGGAAGGGTGTGTGTGAAAAGGTGGTTCCTTTCTGAAGCGGACACCAGTGCTACTTTCTAGACTGGCTGGCCTGGGGTATTCATGAGTGGTACAGCCTGCTTCATTATTTTCTGGGACGGAACCTGTGCTTTCAAGAATGTGCCCAGAGGTTGGAAATCCAAATGTGTTTCTGAACCTAGTCCACTGCCTCCTCTTTCCTCTCCCTTCCCGTGATTAGGCGAGGCAGTGAGCTTTCCTGTACAATATGCACCTTGAATCAGAGCCTGAATCATAGATGCTCTTGTTGTTTGTCTTGTGTTGTTCCTTTCTCTTTGTGGTGGTGGTGGTGGAACTACTTTGCCTAGTTTAAATTAAGCAAATCTGAGATTTGAAAGTGTGTGCTGAGGAATCTGCTCAGTAGTATTTGTTTCATTTTTTAGGCTCAGATTGCGGCAGAATTGAACAAACATTGGCAGAGGCTCTTAGAGGGACTTTCATACTACAAACCTCCAAGGTATAATAAGTGCCTGATTTCAGAAACTAACTCTAACTTCTAAAATGTGAACTGCTAATACATGGAGAAGATTATTTCTCACTGATTACATAGATTTCTGCTCTCTTGCATGATTTATGATTTCAGGAGAGAAGCGAAAAGACAAGGTGCTTTTCTATCCAAATAATATTTTGGGGCATGAAACATACATCAGACAGAAGTAACAACAATTTCTGCTGCCCTGACTGTTAGGTAGCTCTCAACCTTTGCATCTGCTAAACTGCAGTGATCATTTGCAAGCAGGCATCCAAAGTGTTTCCTCTTGACATTTAGTCATCTCAGAAATATGTCTAGATTCCCTTGGTGGAAAAGAAGAAACAAATATATTCTACATTTATCACAGTAATAAACTAATGAATGGTGCTGAATTTCATCTGGTGGGAAGATTACAAAATAGTATTGTGTTAAATACTGAAAGGCTTTTGAAAGTAAACAAAAGTTAAGTTAGAAAATTTAAAACAAAATCTTTTTATTTCATTCCTTGAGACTGATGCATTTTTAATGACTTAATTTTCTTTTTTTCCTTTAGCACAACTTCAGCAGAAAAAATAAAAGCTGATAAAGATGTAGCTGCTCCACTAAAAGAATTGGGTCTGAGGGTCAGCAAGTTTTTGGTGAGTGAAGGTGCTATTCTGGTTATTTTTTTATCCCTGCACTTGATTACATTGTCACTAGGATTGCTAAGTCTTTGTCATTTCGATTTAAAATAATCTTAAAGGAAATATTATATGTTACATGTTGAGGCTTCAGGTCAATTTTTTTGAAGGAATTATTAACCTCGAGGTGCTTTGGCTTTTCTGAGTAACCTAAAAAAAAGAGAGGAGAGCAGCTTTTCAGAGAAAGTCACTCTTTTTTTGGCCTTACAAGGCCAGAAAGAAAAATAGAATCATAGAATCATAGAAT